GGAGAAAGAAGAGAGGCCTCCTACTGTTGAAAGCCATATATCTTATTACACAGAAGTACGATTATTTATATTTCAAATGTAATAATTAGTGTACAAATGGTAGTTTATTAATTTATCAGTAATCAGTTACTTATAGTTTTGACATAACAGTCAAATAATTGGTGATGATCTTGCCATAGCCATACTTTTGAATTCTAAAGTATTTTTTAAAAATCATCTACTCTGTCTAAATTCTTATATGTATTCTGGATATGTTCTTTCTGAAGGGGTCAATAATCACTTTTCTATTGTATATAAAATATATACAGGCAGTAACTGAGATGATGAAATGGCTTTATTGCTAAGATAGTTCAGCCTATGTCTGAACTGATAATTGTAAGTTCTCGAGTTCTCCCTTGCATGATAGAATTTTAGAAATATAGGGCTGGAAAGAACTCTGGGAGAGCTAGTCTCCCTGCATTGAGTCAGGACAAAATAATCTTAGGTCATCACTGACAGGTCTAACCTGTTCTTAAAAACCTCCTCTGATGAGGATTTCACAATTCTAGGCCTCAATCTTCTTTTCTCAAGACTAAACGTGTGCTCAGGTTTTTTTTTTTAACCTTTTATCATAGGTGAGGTTTTTTTTAACCATTTACCATTTTTGTTGCTCCTTTCTAGACCCTCTCTAATTTGTCCACATCTTTCTGAAAGCCTGTACTTAGAACTTCATTCAGTGCTCCAGCTGCAGCATCACCAGTGTTGAGTAGGACAAGACAGTTACCTCTGGTGTCTTACCTATGAATTACTTTCGATGTACCCCAGAATGAGTAGTCTGCAACTGCATCAATTTATCCACTTTTAACCCCCTGATATTTTTCAGCAGTAGTACTGCCTAGCCAGTTATTCCCCCTTTTCTAGTTGTGCATTTGATTTTTTTCCTAAGTGCAGTACTTTGCACTTCTATTTATTGAGTTTAATCTTGCTGAATTTAGACCAGTCCTCTAATTTGTTGTAGTCCTTTTTAATTCTAATCCTGTCCTCCAATGTTCTGGCAGTTGTTTCTAGCTTGGTGGCCTCTGAAGATTTTTAAAAACATATTCACCATTCCATTATTAAAGTTATTAATGAATATATTAAATAGTATTGGACCTAGGACAGATCCCTAGCAAAACCCCACAAGATATGTCTTCCCCAGTTTTACAGCAAGCCACTGATAACTCCTCTTCTATCAGTACTGCAACCATCTTATATTAATTACAATGAGACCATATTTCTCTACTATGCTTATGAGACTGTCTTATGGAACTGTATAGAAAGTCTGACTCAAAATATATCACACCTGCAACTTCCTTGTCCCCTATCCAAAACCAATAATCTTGTTAAAGAATGAAATGTAAGTTGGCATGGCATGCTTTCTTTCTGACAAACCCATGTTAAGTATTTTTTGTCATTCCACTATCTTCTAGGCCAGGTGCTTACAAATTGATTATTTGGTAATTTGTTTCAGTGTCTTTCCTGGTAACTGGAGCATAATCTCCTGGGTCTTCTTTGTTTCCCCCTTTTTAAATATAAGTTCTTCTTCGAGGAGTGTCTCTGTGGGTGCTCCACCTTAGGTGTGCCAGCGCTGCTGCGCCCATGTTTGGCAGATTCTTAATAGCAGTGCCCCTCCAGTTGGCTGTGTACACGGAATGCTGGCACATGACAGTTGGAATTGTCACCCCATGTGCATAGCCAACTGCCTCCTCAGTTCTTCTCTGACCGCTGCCGGCTTCAGTCACATAGAGCAGTTGTTCCCTTTCCCCTCATACCTTTTAGCTTTCATACATGATTTTAAAATCCTTCCAGGACCTTTTAAGAGGGTAGCAATTCAGGCATTTGCCGATACAGACGCGTGCTTTGGGCAAACTTTTCTTGCAGCTACTGAGCTTGCACACCGAAGAACCCACCACCAAGCACGGACGCTGCTTTGTAGTCACCTAAGGTGGAGCACCCATGGGGACACTCCTTGATGAAGGGAAGGTTACTTACCTTGTGCAGTAACTGGAGTTCTTCGAGATGGTTGTCCCCGTGGGTGCTCCACTACCCATCCCTCTCCCCTCAGCTTCAGATCCATTTACATTTGGGTCAGAGAAGGAACTGAGGAGGCAGTTGGCTGTGCACATGGGGTGATAGTTCCAACTGTCACATGCCAGCATTCCATGTGCACAGCCAACTTAGAGGGGCACTGCTACTAAGAATCTGCCGACCATGGGCACAGGGGCACTGGCGCACCAAAGGTGGAGCACCCATGGGGACAACCATCTTGAAGAACTCCAGTTACTGCACAAGTTGAGTAACCTTCCCTTCTATGTTTGTCCTTCTCCAGTCTTTGGGGAACTTGTCCATCCTTCATGAGTCCTCGAAGATAATGGGTCCAAGGTTATCATAGAATCATAGAATCCTAGGGCTGTAAGAGACCTCAGGAGGTCATCGAGCCCAGCCCCCGGCCAAAAGGAGGACCAACCCAACTAAATCATCCCAGCCAGGGCTTTGTCAAGTCTGGACTTCAAAACCTCTAGGGATGGAGATTCCACCACCTTCCTAGGTAATCAATTCTAGTACTTCACCACCCTCCTAGTGAAATAGTTTTTCCTAATATCCAACCTAGACCTTCCCCACTGTAACTTAAGACCATTGCTCCTTGTTCTGCCATCCCTCACTTCTGCAAAAAGCCTCTTTCTATCCTCTTTGGAACCTCCTTTCAGGAAGTTGAAGGCTGCTATCAGATACTCCCCCCCCTTGTTCTTCTCTTCTGAAGATTAAATAAACCCAAATCCCTCAGCCACTCCTCGTTAAGTCATGTGCTCCGGCCCCTAATAATTTTTGTTGCCCTCTGCTGAACTTTCTCCAATGCGTCCACATCCTTTCTGTAATGGGGTCCCCAGAATTGCATGCAATAGTCCAGATGTAGCCTCACCAATGCTGACTAAAAGGGAATAATCACTTCCCAGTATGGAGGTGATGGTTCATGGATGGTGATGGATACTTGAGGGAAATTTACACACCCAAAGGGAGCAATGCACTCCCAACTTACTTACTCCAAAATGACTCAGTAAATGCAGAGCTGTCAGGAATACAGCGTAGAAAATGCTTAGTTAACATAGTTCATCTGAATCAGTCCCAGAGCCCTCATTGCCTCTCGAATCCCAGTTCAGCAGCTTCTCCCCTGCCTCCAGCAGCCCACACTTAACACCCTCACCTGGCCCCTCCCATAGTCCTTTGTTCTTCAAATGGTCACACCCAGCTGGTTTCCTGGGTGAGGCATCCATGCTTGTTCACTGCTAGGTGCTAAATGTTCTGGCTGTTGCAGTGGTCGTTGTCCTCTGGGAATTTCCATGGGCAAGGTGGCCCAGGCAGGTAGGCATCAGTCGTCTCTGGGTCTCAACAAAAAGTAAATAACTCCCTCCTTCACCACCTAGTTAATCATGTTACACATAGGGGAAACTGCAGCACAGACATTCATCCAAAATACGATAAATAATTTGCACTCCATGACAATATCCACAAGTTCTTTATATATAAGATAATAGACCCTGAAGAGTCTCAGATTTTCCATCTAATCTAACCTTTTGTGTCATAGCTGCCATTTCACCTCCCCCCACTCCCATGAAGCAATAGACAAACTAATCCTCGGCCCACCTTAAAAAACAGTCTACACTAACGAGTCATTGCTGAAAATGGATTTTAGCAATATGTCTCTCCAAATTGGAAGTGAAAATTGTATATATGTTAATGTGGACAAGACAAATCAGTTTTCATTACTCTTTCAGAAAGCATACTGAAAGACACTTTTTGAAAGAGTACCAGACGAGGCTTTAAATGTCTGAAAGTGTTGTTGATGCATTGTATGATACTTCTCCCTCTTCCCCTTCCCAACCAGAATGAAACAAACTTTTGCTTATAGGTTTGTGTAACATAGCACAGTTAAGCCCTGAACCTTGATAGGGACTTATAGATTTTACCATAGTGCAAATAAATGATGATAATGATTTTAGTATCATCAATATATTTAATATTTTTAATATAATCAGTTTATTTAAACAGCAAGTTTTTTAAGAAATAGAGATGACCAGAGACTGTCAGATTCTTATTCTTTCTCCCCCATCCTGCCAGTAGCTTCACCAGATAGTTTTTAAGTTCAGTACATTTTAATTTCTCTTCTGTCTGAAGTGCTTGCTTACTGTCAAGTATAAAAATGACGTATTTGTTATGTTTGCTAGGATATTCCACAATCTAGGGTTCTGTCTCCTCCAGTCCCTGCTAGAAGAAACCAGTTGCGTGCATATGGTTGGTATTCTCTTTATTCCATGATAGTATAACTATATGTTAATCTCCTCTTTCTTGTTTTCTTTTCTAATATTGACTAATTATCTTGTGGAGGAAAAAAAAAAACCAGATGCTTTTAGATGCCAAAAATATCCACAAATATTTTTATTTGATTTTTTTTCTAACCAATATTTTAGCCTAGTGGAAAAATTATTGATCTTTTGATTTGTGGCATTCCAGATCTGGAAGAGAGGGGGAGGAGCAGGGATGGCATGTGTATCAGCAGATTTGTGGTACTTTGAAAGTGTTTGGGGGGAGGGAAGTGTAGGGCTCCCGTGTGCGAGAGGCAAGTGTGGGAGACACATGGCGGAGGGCGAGGAGGGTGTCTGTGGGCCGCAAGTGGAGCCCCAGTGAGCTGCATGTGACTTGCAGGTCGGGCACCACTGAACTCCAGGTTTTAAGTCCTCATAGACTCATAGACTTTAGGGTCAGAAGGGACCATTATGATCATCTAGTCTGACCCCCTGCACAGTGCAGGCCACAAAATCTCACCCACCCCTCCTAGAATAATCCTCCCACCTATATCTCAGATATTGAAGCCTTCAAATACTTTGAAGACCCAAAGATGCAGAGAATCCTCCAGCTGTGATCTGTACCCCATGCTACAGAGGAAGGCGAAAAACCTCCAGGGCCTCTGCCAATCTACCCTGGAGGAAAATTCCTTCCCGACCCCAAATATGGCGATCAGCTAAACCCTGAGCATGTGGGCAAGACCCATCAGCCAGACACCCAGAAAGTTCTCTATAGTAACTCCTATCATCCCTCCATTGACCTATTTCCAACTGGAAATGAATGGTCAATTAGTTACCAAGATCATGTTATCTCATCAAACCATCCCCTTCATAAACCCATCTAGTTTAATCTTGAAACCAGATAGATCTTTTGCCCCCACTACTTCCCTTGGAAGGACGTTCCAGAACCTCACTCCTCTAATGATTAGAAACCTTCGTCTAATCTCAAGTTGAGGAATGGCTTTTGCAGAGAGCGAGTTTAGAAGTCAGTGAAGGTCCCTACTTGGTAAATGTGAATTCCAGGGAGTGTTAGAACAGCTTTGTAATTACATTACTATAAGCATAGGAGGCTGCATTCCTACACTGGTGAAATTCAAATCAATGGGAGTCTTGACTAAGTGTAGATTGGAGTATCCCAACTTACTTTTTGTTTGTATTATAATAGCTGCCACTGTGTTGTAAGTGAACTATCACTGGCACAAGCAACCAACACAGAGTACAAAACAAATCTGAGTGGCTTACAGGGTGTGCTCATGAAGCCTTTGGCAAAGATTAATGCTGATTGCTGTAATAGGAGATACTCTTTCTAAAAAGGAAAAAGGCTGGTGGTCTGTCATCTGATTTCAGTGTGTCCTATAATAGTTGCAAACAGCCTGAGCCCATCAGCGATCCCCATAGTATCTGTTTTAGGTGCTTGGGCAAAAGGCGTATAAGTGACAAGTGTTGCAATTGAAAAACCTTCAAACCAGAACTAAAAAGGAGCATGGCAACTGCTTTAAAGTGCTCTTGATGGAGTCAACACTCCAGAATTGGAGCAGTTGTCTGACTCTGCACCAAGCGTTGCAATGTTGGTGCATACTGCTCTGGTGGCAGAGGGACAGATTTTTTGCCCTGCATCTTTGCAGTAATTTATACCAACACAAAGTGGGTGTGACTTGATACTGTTTCATTTGATACCATTTTACTACTAATTTGCATTGGTGTAAATTACTTACATATGTATAGGGGAGTGTCTACACTACTGGTGCTACAGTAGCACATCTGTAGCTACATTATTATAGTGCAGAGACATAATACAGTGACAAAAGACATTGCTGTAGTAAATCTATCCCCTAGAGAGAGAGAGAGGGTGGCTAAGTTGATAGAAGAATTCTTCTGTTGATCTTGGTGCATCTGCAATAGGGGTTGGGTTAGCATAACTTAACTATATCACATAGAGCACAAAATTTTTCATAGCCTTGAAAGATACAGCTAGGTTTTGGTGTAAACTAAGCCTCATTTGAGAGCTAGCTCTCTGTTCTCTCTCCCATTACAATTACTTGGCTTCACTCATATTATGTATATACATTTCACTGTAAGTTACTCATTGCAAGCACACTTTTTTAAACTTTTATATTAAGAGCACAGGGCCCCATTTTATCTAGATACATAGGTGCCTAGAGATGCAGGTAGGTGCTTAGTGTGATTTTCAAACACATGCTGTATGGAGATGAGATGTGTCTCTATCTCTAGGTGCCTGAATGCCTTTAAAAATCTGGTCAATAGTCTTTTACTTTCTGCTGAAACTTATTTTAATCAGGTCAGATCTGGTAGGCACATAAGACATAACATAGAGAGGAAGGGTTTAAGTACTGGTCTGCAACTTTTAGTAGCTAACTGTAGTAACAGGGGTTTGACTGGGTCCAGCATAGAGGAACACCAGGGCTACGTCTAGACAGCAGGGCTATTTCGGGATACCTGATTCAAATATATTTTGAAATAATGGGAACACTATTCTGGCATCCCTGTAACCCTATTTCTATGAGGGTTAGGGGATTTGTCAGAATAGTGCTTTATTTTGATATTTGGTGCTCTTATTGAGTGTGTTGGTTGTGGTGCCGTGTCAGCGGTTTGAAGAACTGTGCTAATTGGACCAGGCAATCCACCATACCATCATAAAACCAATCAAATTGTTGCATGCAAATCAGCTGTAGAGCACGAGCGTTTGGTTGGATTACTTCAGTGTCATGATGTCTAGGACTCCTGGCATAGCACAGATTCATGCCTTGCTGTGTCATGTGTGTAATTTGTAGAGTCAGAATGACAGGTTACTTAAAAATTGGACAATAACAGACTTCAGAACCCAGTAATGATTGAATCTGGCAGTATTCTGAATAAGAATGGCTCTTGATTATGCTTTTAGCTATTTCCATAGCTTTGCACCGATTCTACAGACATTTTAATCTTCATAGTGAGACACAAAGTGACATTCCTGCATTTTTGTCATGTGTATTACCTTAGTTGTAGCAGCAACCATTATATTTTTGGCACTTGATATTTCTGAAGTGGCCAAACCAAAGTGTTCCTTTAACATGTTTGTTTTTTTAAAAATTATTGATGTTAAATTCCAGAGGAAAGAAAGAATGTGATAAATGAGTTGTCAGAGATGAGGAAACAGCTCCGAAGTGAAGAGCGACGACTTCAGGAACAATTGCTCAATGTTGCCAGTGATGATGACATAGCCACTACTAGGTGAGAGTTTTTTAAATGTATACTTCTAAAGCCAGTTCTCACACTATGCCTAAAGCTGTATTAGCCTGCCAGAATATACTTGAACAAAAGAAAAAATATGAAAACACTTATGGGATTAGGATTACATACAAAATGTTCCAGCTGTTTCATAGTACAGTAATATGTTGTTAGTTATTTAGCACCATAGATGAGCATGGCATGCTGCAAAATGAATAATTTAGGCAGTTCTGTAGCCATGCTTACAAGATGGGGAACACTATTTAAAAAGCTCCCAGTGCGGTGGTGTGGCCAAAAGGGATTAATGCACTAATCGCTAGTGAATGGGCCGCATTAGTGGCCCTCCTTCATTTTACTGTGCTGCAAGATTGTTGTAACAAGGATGGCATGCTAGGGTATAGTAGTTTTGCTAACTGTGCTTGTGTGCCTAGAATTGATTAGATGTAGAGGCATCACTCTCCTAGTCAGTTTGTGTGCATTCAGCATGCACTTCACTTTATGTGCCCTTGCTTCATGTGTTCTCACTTCAGCCATACTGGAAGGGGGAAAAAAAACTAGGTGAATGGAAACCACCAGAAAGTGGCAACCCTGTGTATAGGGCATGGTAAACAAAATGTCTCACAGGCCACACATAGATGCCTGCAGGACACCCACCACCAGCTTCATGCAATTGTTGGATGTATAAATGGCAATATCTGGTAGGATAATGGAGGTTCTGTTACCCCTGTATTTAGCACTGGTGTGACCACAGGTGGAGTACAGTGTGTAGTTCTGATGTCCAAAATTGAAGAAAAATGTTGTACATTTCAGAAGGTTCAGAGAAGTGCCACAATGACTAAAGGGTTGGAGAATGTGCATCAGTTGAGCTTGTCAAACAGAAGGTTAAGAGCAATATGATATGTGGAAAAAGAAACTTGATAATATAGGGCTTTTAAGTCTAACAAGCAAAGGTATAACAAGATCTCATGTCTGGAAGGTGAAGCAACACAAATTCAGATTAGAAAAAGGAGCAAATTTTTAACAGTAAGGTAATTAGCCATTGGAACAGTTCACCTAAGGTGGTTGTAGATTCTTCATCACTGGAAATGTTCAAATCTTACATATTTTCTAAAAGATAAATGCTCTATTATAAACATGGATTAATTCAGGGAAGGCCATTCTTCTACTATATATTTGAGAGAATTTGTCTTTCTGTTGGTTTATTCAAGAACTCCTCCTAAATGGTAAGATTTAGGATCACTAAATTTGGTATGCAGCTTCCTCTTATCATAACTTAAAGCAGGGCACAGTTTAGTTGTGCCAGGACAATGGGATGTGCCTGGAATGCAACTGTTTCTCATAAAACAGAAAGAGAGTAATCTGCTATATGCAAGGACCTGAGCAATGCAACGTAAATCTTCTCGTGATCGCTGTTATTCAGGAGATCAGAGTAGATGATCGGTGGTTCCTTTTGGCCTTATAATCTATAAATTATATTAATATATTTTTGTTCAAAGAAATTATCTGATTGGTTATTATCTATATCCATTGCTTTCTTAACCTAATATTTTAAGAGAAAAATATAAATCTCTGGTGCCAGCAGGTCTCCCATTTACATTGATTGCAGTAAAGTATGTATTTGCACCCAGAAAATACATCCTTCTTATATCTACTATTGAGTACATTGCTGATGCTAGTTATCATTTTATCTAAATTTAAATTGAACTAATAGAGTTCTCCTTTTGTATGTCATAAATATAAGAAATAGATGACCTAACAAATAGCTACGTTTTTCTGGTTTATTGTGTGCTTGCATTTCTTCAAGCATACATTAGAATCTTACCATTTCAAATTGCACAATAATAGCCTAATGCTGTAGAGAGGTATCATGCCAAAAATACTTGATTACTTTTGCAAAAATATACCAAGAACAGTTACCAGTGTACTATATATCTTTACAAAAAAATGATTTGAACTGCACTGGTTAAGTAAATGAATTTTGCATTTTCCTCCTTTAAATTGTTTTATTTGCAGCTGTCATCACTTAGCAGTCATAGAAATATCCAGCTCATCTCCATGTTATTATTATGAACTTAACTGGATTTACATACCACATTGCCTCCATTTGTAACACACAGAGAAATATAATTATTTTCAAAACTGTGGTAGTTTTATTCTTTGAGTGGCAGGATACAATATACAAGCAATAGTCTTCACCTAGAGTAATACCAAGTGACATGTTAAAAAAAGTTACGATTGAGGAACTGTTAGTCATATTGAATGTTTGATTTACAAACTTTTCAAGTAGGAAAAGAGAAAAAAATGTAATGGATGTATTTGAGATGGCCAGGCTTCGGATGCAAGCTCCAGTCAGGCGACCTTCATCAAAGGGTACAGCTGACCCTGTCAATGTTCAGAATATCTGGGACTTCAATGAACTTAAATATAGAGGCAAGTGGATTTTCTCCTTGCTAATTGAGTGTTTCTTTTCATTTCCAAATCATTTCTCAGCATTTAAAAGAAAATTCAATAACCTTTTCACAGTTGCTCTTAACACAAACAGTAAGGACAAGGACTGGTTCTTGCTATATATTCTTTTTTACTGGCATTCTGATTTACCTAGCGAACTGAGGATTCCCTTGCTTCCTACACTTTGGCATAGGGATTAAGGCCAGGGAGCAGCCCTTATATGCATCTGGTTGCTAATTGCTAAAACAACCTCTTGGATTTTTTAATGGCATTGTGCAACACATTCTGTGTTGTTTTTTGTGGTACATGTGTATCAATTTGCAGTGCGGAATATTTTGGTTCCCCAAACGATGATATACTTCCATTAAATAAGAAAATATAAGAATGTTTCAGCAGCATTTTAATGCACTTGTGCATGCAAAGATCCATTCACATAAAGGTGCTGAGGGGCATTTTCAAAAACACCTAAATGGCATTGGAGCAAAAGTCCCAGTGAAAGTTTACAGGATTTGTGCTCTAAAACAATTTAGGCATTTTTAAAATCCCTGAGTTTGTAAGAGCAGTTTAGACTTGACCTATCTGTGCTTTCTTATTAACCATAATCAACATTCACTGTGTCAACCTTTAATTTAGTTGTCATCATTACAATATATTAGTCAAAACTCCTAATCCAACCACTTCTAACAATCCCAGGCATTTATATATACATTGCCACTATCTTTGAGGTGACTTGTTTTCTGGCAAATTGAAATTGCTTATAATTACTTTCTTCATTTGATACTTTACTTCCCTTGTGAAGTGGTATTTTAACATACATTATTACAAGCTACAGTAGACTTCCGATAATCCGGAACCTATGGGACCTAGGTAGTGCCGGATTATCAGATATGCCGGACTATCAGGAGGTACTATAAAATGGTTATATATATATACTGTATACATTATATACTGTATATAAAGTGTTCTTAACCCTTTTTATTGTACATACTGTATACGGCATACTATAATATTTTAGTTTTTTTAAGCCCTTTTTTACCCTTTTTGCTCAGTTCAGCTGCTGCCGCTGTTACCTTGTGACTCATTTTTTGCTGAAGCTCACTCACTAGGCTCTTGCCATTTTGATGCCGGACTATCAGGAGTGCCGGACTATTGTAGTTTTACTGTATCTACTGTTTGCCATTATTATTATTATTATGATAGTCCTACATGCTTTTAAATCCATGTAGATCATATTTTTAAAGTAAATGTTTCTGAACTAGTATTATGCAATGAAATTTAAAATTCACAATTTGTGCAACAGATTCAGAAACACGAACAGATGTGAAATATATGTATCCTGACCCTCCAAAAGATGACCAAACCTTAGATATTCAACAGCAGGCATTGCTAAGAGAGCAGCAGAAGCAACTTAACAGAATGAAAATGAGGAGAGCTGCAGAAGGTAAGAAAAAAGTGACTCGAGAATGTGATGTGTTTTTATTATCTTTGTTTTTGCTATAACTGTAATAATCCTCAGTTATAATTTAAAATTTCCTTTAACTTATTGGCTTTCTCTGAAAAAATGTATGCAAGCTCATAGTAGATTTTTGGAAAACAGAAAGACGAAGCTACTGTCGAAGTTCTATATGTTTTAGTACTACATAATAAAGAAAAAGCCAACGTATCTTTCAGCACTTTCATTCTTAAATGGATGCTTCATCTTAGTTCTTTGGGAGTAATATGGGAGAAGTTTATGTCAGTTTCTGTTTCTTAAAGAAAATCTAAGGAATCATAAATAATTTCCCATTGTGGAAGAGGAGCTTGATGGAAGCGATTAAAAACCGCTTTCAATCATTAGCAGAGCAGTTCTGCAAGACAACTGTACTTCCACACCCATCACAGGTAGTTTGGAAACCAAGAATTATTTACACTGAAGTTAGTCTAGCTACTAACAAGTCCCCTATTTTTGAAAAAGTATGCTGATAAGCAGGGCTCGACAAATTATAGAAAACGCTACTTGCCAGACAAAAAAGGGACTTGCCACTCTCCCCCCTCACCAAAAAGTGTTTTTTTAATGGCATAAATTCCTAATAAGAATAAGAACAGTAATTACTATCACCCAAGTTATTAATAAATATCTTCCCCCCCTTGCTCCATCATCTCCCCTGGTGTCTGCTGCCCCCCCAACTACTCACCCTCTTCTACTATCCTGACTCCTGCCCTTCTCACTGCCCTCAGCCTTCCTGCACCCTGCCCCCCTCCACCAGCCCTTCTCTCCCCTGTGCCCACTCCTCCAATAGCCCCACTCTGATCATGTGAGCTACCCCTCCTCATCCTCTCATCTAACACCTCCCTCTACACACCTGCCCTGCCTCTCTCCTCTGGTGCTGGTTCATTCCCTGCAGGTGCCTGCCCTTGTGCTTCACCCTCAATCTCCTGGCACCTGCACCCCCCCTGGTGCCTCCCCCTTCCCTCACTGCCCCTGCTCCATTTGCCCTCTTTTTCCCTGATACCCACCTTCTGGCAGTCCCTCAGATTGTAAACAGATCACATTGGCATATGCCATTGTATTCCTCACTAGTTAATAATGAACTGACTTTTGTCTTACTCATAATTTTACTTCATCATTTACTACACCAGTGCCCTTGTCCTCTCCTCTCCCAGCATCACCCTGTTCTCCCCTCCCACTGACACCTCCCCTCCTGCCCTTTTCCTCATTGTCTCCACTTGGCCCGCTGGTATTTGTCTCTCCTGCACCCCTGTCCCTTGGTGCTTTCCCCTTTCTTCTTCTTCTTCTCCTGACCTCCTCCCCTCAGCACAAGACCCTTCCCCATATTTTTCCCCTCCCCTCTTCTCCCCACAGCCCAGCCCAGCCCAGGCCAGCCCCTTCCCCTCCCCCAGAGACAGCTCTAGGTTTTTTGCTGCCCCAAGTAAAACATTTCCCCCCTCCTTTTGTTTTCTTTTACATGTTTGCATTTTGCAATGGTTTTTTTTGTTTGTTTTCATTTTTGTCCCAGCATTTTATCCCTATAAATAGCAAATAGCATTTTCATTCATTTTTTTTTCCATAAAGGCAAAGGCGCTTCAAGTGAACGCCCAATTTCACTCGCTGCTGGGTCACAGCAGCCTTTTCCCTGGCCTGTCCAGCCCCACCTAATGGACAAGCACCCCTCACTCCTGACCCACAGGGGACACAGGGTGCAGGGACAGCACAGAGCCAGAGGGGTGCAGGGAACAGTGGGTGGAGAGAGGAGTCAGAGATGGCATGGGGAATGGGAGGCACAGGCCAGAGGGACGCAGGGATCGGGGTGGAGGGGAGCAGTGTGCGGGGTGCGGTGGAGGCACGGGGAATGGGACTCGGGGAACGGGAGGGGCAGAGGGATCGGGGTCTGGGGCAGTGCAGGGAGCGGGCAGCACAGAGCTGGGGGGAGCAGGGTTTGGGGTGCAAGGGCGGCACAGAGCCAGAGGGAGAGCAGGGGATCCAGGGTGGAGGGGCGGCGTGGGGAATGGGCGGCGGGAGCCAGATGGGGCGTGGGGCGGGTGCAGCGAGCCAGGCGGTCGGCAGGGAGCGGTCTCTCGCTGGCGAAGGGCTGAGGCAGTGGCAGGCCTGGAGCCGGCGGGGCAGGGCCTGGCTCCACCCTGTGCTGCAGCCAGC